GGAGCTCATGGCTCCTGCCTGCAGCATCCCGGGCTCTCCGGGGTTTCAGAGGTGCTGGCTCACACCCACTTGGTCAGAAACTCGAGAAATCTGGCTTGTTCCTGGGAACTGGAGGCGTAGGAATGACATCGGGCAATGGTCTGCGGAGGTGCACAGGCTGAATATCAAGCATGCTTCCCTCCTCCAGCAGCTACGGAAAGGAGCCAGCTTGTGCCCTGCATGGGCTTCATGGCAGCATCCAGCCTTTGGTGTCAAAGCAGCTTCTCTGAGGCCAGAAAGGCAACAAGACAGAGATGGCCTTGCTTTTGTCGAGGACCCAGATCGTGCCTCCAGTCTCCATTTTGTCGAAGCAGAGCTTAGCAGGGTGGCCCCCTGGGCACCATCCCAGACCCCACAACCTGGGTCAGCACATGCATGCATGCATGCACACATGCATGTGCCACGCTGTCCTCAGTGTGCAAAGCTGCCCAGCTGAGCCGGCAAAACATCTGTGAAGCAGCGCCAGCGAGGACTGGCCAGGAGCAGCAGCAGGTGGCCCCTGCACCCACCCACCAGCGTTGGCCCCGGTTAGCTCACAGCTGGGGAGGCTGCACTTTGGCTTACAGCTCGCTAAAATTAGGGATGCCTGGTGTGGATAAAAATACTAACTATGTGAAACCTATAGGGAGGCAGCCAAAGAGCACATCGTATGTCTGACCGGTTAAAGCCCCGGGACGGCGTTCTTGGAGCACTACCTGTGAAAGCCACCTCCGCAGGAGTGACCTTTGGGTGTTCCATATTTGGAGTCTTGCCTTTTAGACCAAGGAACAGCGACCCCCTGGGAGGGCAGGTTCAGCAATAAACAGCCTCTCTGGGCAGCTCAGGTGGTGGAAAAGCACAGGAAGGTGGGACCAAGACGTTCTCCCCTGGTCCCACTGCCAGAAGAGTGGCTCCTCGAGAGGCAGCTGCTCAGCAGGCTTCTGTCCTTTCCCTTGGCCCAACACTACATCCCAGGACCTGTAATTTGCCAGTCTGAATTATGTGAGAACCCAAAAAGTTTCTGGTGGGGCATGCAAGGGGATACTAGAGGAGACAGCACAGCATTAGGAAGGAGAGATATCCCCCCTCTGCTCCCCAACAAACTGCCCATCAGCTCAAACAACAGAGAAGCCAATTGTGGAGTGAAGGCATGAGTCCTGCATAAGGATTCAGAGCTTTTGGGGAAATACCCTAGACTTTTGACATCTCCTCCTGTTGTTTCTGAAAACAAAACCCTAACATTTTGTGATATAAAATCACCATCATTACATCAACTGGGTTCTGACCATCAAGATAAACTGCAGCTTTAAAGACAGTAGGAGAGAAACAGAGGAGAAGTGTGGATTGCTTGAGGGATGTTCCCTCATCATCTCCTGTTGCTCTCCTCCTTGCATTGCTTGAGTTTTGCTCTTCCACCACTGTCAGCTAGGGAAACAGAAAACTCCCCACGCTTAAGAGAAGTTTACTCATGACAGCTCTCACAGAGACCCAAATGTCCCCAGTGCCCTGCCTCACAGCCTGAACAGCTTCAGAAGATGGGCAGGTGCTAAAGAAGTAGGAAGAAAATCCAGGCCACAAAGCCATAATGTCACTCCACAATGAAAAACTGACCATACTGAGACATCCACCCCTCCCACCCCCATTTGTAACCCTCTCTGCTGGATTTTGTCTGCCATTCAGCAGCAAAGCTGACACCAAACTCAAGGTTTGGCATGATCACTGTTGTTTGCAGCTGGGAGAGGACCATGGCCACCTTTATATGGGTGACACTTCTGCTGCTCTATAACCTAGGTTTTCAGAATGACCCCGTGGGACTTCTTAAATCTCCCAAAAGCTTCCCAGCATCACACCTAAGCTCGGATGGGTATGGTAGGTGTGAAGCTGAGGTGTTCTGGCAGGGAGTTGTTTCTTTCTATCCCCATTACTCAGATTGCCTGTAACTGTTGACACCATCCAAGGTGAGGTGGCGCTTGCTTACTTGGTGGTACTCAAGCTTTACCTTGGGCTGGCACCTCTCACGTGTCCCAGAGAGCCACGCACTCCCGCACGCTCACCCAGATCCAAGTATGGCTGTTAGCTGAGGGAAGTGGGAAAAAGGTGGAGTGCTCCTAAACTCGCACCTCCTTTTCCCAAGGTTGCACAGGATACAGCTTGTGATCCTGTGGCTAGAAAGTGTGCGTTGCAAAGGCTTCAAGCACATGAGTGTGCATGGACTATGAGCTTACAAGTGACTGCGGTCTCTGCTCGTGGGCTAAGCCAGCTCTGCCTGGCCAAAGCTCCTGCTGTACCTCAGGGACTACACGACCAGTTAGGTCCAGTTCTTCCAGGGCAGTTTCTCCCCTCCAATCTCCCCATGCATCTGTTGAAGCTAAATTACTCGCTATAGAGGCTGAGACAAAGGCAAAACCAAGACTTCAAGTGATATGAATTTAAAGGGAGGAGGAGGAGGAGGAGAAGGAGGAGGAGGGGCTGTGTTCTTACATTACAGCCGCCTCTGTCCCAAGATCCTGAGCCAAGAGGATTGTCAAGATTAGAAACATTATCTGCATTCAAATCCCACTAGCTTTATGGAATCAGAAAATACTGTAAGGGGATATATAAATGCTTGATACTGTAATGAGGAGGGGGCAACTAGCCAAGCTGCTGTGCCTCTGGCATACTCCATATTTTGCTGCCTTATGGGGTTCAGATATAGGTGTGGGAACATGTCCTCACCCAAGCACTGGTCAGACTTCATCTGGCACATGGCTAACATAGCTGTAAGTAAGTAGCTAAATCAAGTATGGACTGGTCTGGACATGACCGGACAGTCTTCTTCCCTTGGGCTTTCTGTGTTTTACCTCTGGTCACAGTGCAGCCAGAGCCTCAAGCGTTGACTCTGAGGAACCTCTTGCTGGTCTACACAACTGCCAACAAGCAGCGACTTGCTGACAATGTCCCCTAAAGCTGATGATCCTACAGGCTCCAATCCTTTTGCCCAGTAAAGGCAGATCCCCATAACAGGAAACAGAAAACAGCTTCTCCCACCACCCACCCACTTGCAGATGCCTAGGGAGCTTACAGGAGGTGCCCATCTCTGCCTTTGTTGTTTGGTATCAGCTGCTCTCAGGTGCTTTGATGTGGATGGCCGTGGCTTGAGCCAGGAGATGAGATGCCAGACGAGTCAGACCAGTGCTCAGATGACTTATCAATGGATGTGCAAATACGGACCAGTGCTCTGCCCCGTTCAGGCCGTACCCCTTGTAAGCACAAGCCCTGACTGTGCCACCTCACCTTTGTTTCAAAGCACTGGCAGAGAGCAAGGTAAGAGTGGTGAGACCGTGTGTTTTCTGTATGCTCCCTTTTTGCCTCACATGGTGGCATTTCCCGCTAAAGACAACAGGCCAGTTGTCTTTAGCGGGATCAGGGCGATCAAGGTTGCAGTGATGCTGTGATGGCTAGTGGAGAATACATCCTTCTGGAGGGCCCTGGGACAATTCTGGGGATGTGCATTTGGTGGAAGGGAGAACACAACCATGTTCTCCATCACTCTTCTTCACCCAAGCAAGGTCCCTGAGCCCTGATTCCCAGGGTGCCTGCAGTATCCCCCAGGATTTTGGGGAAGAACTGGGTGCTGCCAGCATGGGGAGCTGGCTGGCCCTGCGACGTCCTGGGGTGCAGGCGAGGGGGCTGCCCCACCGCTTTTGCTCCCCAATGGCTTTAATCACTGCTCGCTTTTGCGGCGGCTGGGCGCAGGCGGAGGCTATTTATAGCGGGGAGCCAAGGGGCCACGCGGCCGTGGGGGCAGTGCCGCTGGGTGACATTCAAACCGGCTTTGAGGCCAGGGGGATAGTGCCAAAATGGGTCCTGGGGGAGGATGTTCCTCATAAATCAGCCCGCCATCCTTCTG